ATTTTTGAATTTTAAATTAAAAATTTAGTTTACAAATGAAAGTTGAAATTCTAATTTTTTTAAAAAAATTCAAATTGATATACACTAATCTCACATTAAAAATTTTAAATATAATTAATTTATAAAAAATTTAATTCTATTTTAAGTATTCTACATTTTTAAAAATCAAAAATTAAAACTATAATTATATTAAATGAAACCTCAATAACAAATTACTTCTTTAGTTGGTTCCCGGTGGGAGGGGGGGTGCGGAGAATATTATCAATAAACGAAACCTCAACAACAAATTACTATTTTTGGGTGGTTCCCACCAGGTGGCGGGGCGGGGGGTAAGGGTGGTGTTGTGTGTTTTGGGGAAGGGGTGCGGAGGATATTATCAATAACAAGTTACTTTTAGAGGGAATATTTTAGGGTTGTTATGCAAGGTAAGGCATTATTCCACGCATTTACTTAAAAAGAAAAATGATTTTGGTATAATTTTTTTGTATCAATTTTTAAAATAATTTGATATATCATTTAAATGATTAATTTTTTTAATTTGACGTATCACTTAAAAAAAGAAATGGTTTTTTCGCACAAAAAATAATTGACATATTTATTATTAAAGTGACACGTGACTGTTAAATTACTGTTTTTTATCGTTAAATTATTATTTTTTGTCGTTAAGTAATGGACACATCAACTGTTTTTTGTACAGAATGACCAATTTATGGTTAAATTAGTAAATAGTAAGGACCAAATCGTAAATCTGTATAATAGCTCAGGGACCAAATTGGGATTTACCAATTTACCTCAAGTTGATCCTTTTACACAAAAAATTGTTGACGTATCTTGTTATTGACGTGACACGTGATTGTTAAGTTACTATTTTTTGCTATTAAATTATTATTTTTTACCGTTAAATAATGAACACATCAATTATTTTTTGTACGAAAAAACCAACTTTGAGTTAAATTAGTAATCAGTAAGGACCAAATCGAGGTCCATATAATAATTTAGGGAACAAATTGAAGTTTTAACCTTTCTAAAAATATTTATCGCAATATCAACAACGGAGGATAAACCAGTACTCCAACAAACAACCCTTTTTTTAAATCCAAATTAAAATTTAGTCCCTTAACTTTTATTTTTTCATTAATCAAGTTTTTGAGAACAAGATAATTTAGGTGATTTATCAACTTTTTCATCCAATGAAAAAATAGAGAGCAATACATTCATTCATTTAATTCGTATAATAACTAAATTAAAAAATAAAAGAAAAATCATCTTGAAATAATAATTATTTATCAATCTAGACTAAATTTACCTCAAAATCCCAATCTATACTATTATATATAGAAACTTCTAGGATCCACTCATGATAAATGTATATTGTGACCAAAATTATTAGCTGCTAATTAATCCAAAATATACCAATGAAGAAGTAGAAGAGGGATAATTCCAAAATAGTAAGGGAAAATTAATATATTAAAAACACTATCCCACAGTAACAAGCCAACCTTGAGGCCTATAGCAGGGAATCGACCGCCATCGAAAAACCCAACCAAATGTTAGATGTGGAAAATTTGAATTATGAAGATATCCACTCCAAACTTTTTTCTTCCATGATTACTTTTTCAATTCTAGCATCCAAGAGCAGCACAGTCAAACCAAGGTACGTTCATGTTTGTAATTGACTAAAAAAAAAGCATCTAAGGCACATTAAATGAACATAACTCCGATTATTGTCGCAGGTTTA